GTCGCCGTCGTGGGCGGCTTCCATGAGCCTGGCCTCCGGCGGCCACCGGGCGCGGTCTGCACAACATCAAGCGAATCGAACGATGAGACGGCCGGCGGAGGGAGAGGAGACGGCTAGGTAGATCAACCGTCGACCGATTAGGGCACCGTGGCGGTCACCTTTGCCGAGGAGGAATTCGTAGCAGCGAGGCAGCGACCGCTTCCTCATCGCCGGCGGTGGCGGTGGGTGGAGGAGCAAGCCGATGAAGGAAGGAAGGTTCTGGAAGAAAAAAATGGCGGGAAATGAGAGGGAGTGAGTGGGCTCGCAGGCGGAGGATCCAATAGGGGGTCGACACGTGCCCTCCGAGGACGAGATCATGTGACACTCCTGCCATGCTTTGCTTCTCGATTCCAAGTTTTGAAATTTGTATTTGAACTTCTTTTTTTCGGGTGTGTAGTTGAACTTGCTTTAGGCTTTGTTCGGTTACACCTCCTCACAGGGGGATTGGGGTGGATTGGAGGAGGTTTTGACTTGTAGAAGGTGTAATCCCTGCCAAACCCTTTCATTTTCCCTGTCAACCGAACAAGCCCTAATTAACATCCTCCGACAGTGGGGAAGGTAGCGTTTGCCACAAACGTTGGTGTAGTATAGAGAGGATCGATGGGTGACATTCACCCTCCTTCGAGGCATCGGCACCATGTTGCATCCTCCGCTCAAGGCTTCGAGGGAAACCCAAGGTCCCAGGCTTTCCTGGATTGCGGCAGCGACGGTGTATCTCCGTTTTTGTCTCTCCCTATTAACATTGCTTTTGGCGCCGCTCTAGTCGGTGTCGGTGTCCGCTTTTCACTCATGGTCCGCCAGGCAGGAGACCAGCGGCGGACGACTTGTGTGGCAATAACAACAACAATGGGTTTGCAAAAACCAGAGTCGCCTTAGTTGTGTGGTGATGCCACCTATGGTGGCTTGGGCCACGTGATCTCGATGCCGCTCTTTTGGGGTTAGCTTATTCACGATGAAGGCAGCATCGCAGGCATGATAGTTTGATGAAGATGTTTTCAAGTTTCTGCTTGGCGGTGCTTTTGCCTCATGCCTATCATAGTACATTATGTGGGTTTTCATGGACGCAAAGTATCTACACCTAATATCAAATGCACCCTGGTGAACAGTAAAATCAAATAAAATAGTAAAAATTTCATAAAAATCTTAATTTGGTGAAAACTTTGACAAATGTTCTATGTGCTTGCAAAATTTTATCATAAAGCATCCCTATAAGTCATGATAAAAAAACAAAATCGATGTTCCAAAAATGCTTTTTCTAAAAGCATTTTTGGAGTGCTGATTTTTTTTGCCATGCCTTCCATCTGTTTCGGGCTGAAAATTTCCATGCACCGGGAAAATTTGTGAAAGTTTGCGCCAATTTTTTTATATATATTTTTAAATTTATTTTCATTTTTTTCAGAAATTACTGTTCATCCCAAGCTCAAATGAGCTCAGGAGTAGAAGGGTACTTTCGGTGTGGCTTTTGTTATAACGCAATGGTTTCACCAAGCCAGAGGGGGGAGAAATCAGTCAAGGGCTTCCTGACCTAGTCGTGCAGGCTGCACCAAAGTCCTTTACAACCACTAACCAAACAAGAACAATGAAAACATACTACAACGCCGCAGCTAATCTAATGGTATCGACTCTCAAATATGCATATCCAAACCAAACGCAAAATTGTAAACAATACATATCCCATTGCATTTGGCGGCATCGTGCAAACTTTTGCACGGATTGCACATTATTCAGTTTGATACAATTTGCTGTCGTGTCGTAAACTCAGTTTGCAAACTTCTATCGAATTGATGGACATAGAGAGCACATCCCATTGGAGCAAAGATGAGAACCCATATAAATTCTCTGTAGAAAAGGAACCGTCGCACATATCCCAATCATCGCATTTGATTCATCTAAGCTTGCAACATGAGCCGTAGCTTCTGACCCACGTGATTCTTCATTCTTCAGGTCTGCCAAGCACAGAATTAGCTTCGGTTAATATCTGATTGCATAAACAAACAGAATCTGAGGATAACTTGCGTCAAAACAAACCCATGTGCGAGAACTAGTAAGAAACAAGTCATAAACAAACCCATGCACGACAAAAGAGATTACCAAGCAAAAACACCACGGAAACCAACAGCAAAGCCAGTAAAAACCACAAACTGTTAAGAGACATCAGTACACACGCACATCATACCTCTCGATTCCTTCCCCGACTTCCATTCTGGCAAAGTTGCCAATCGTTACTTTACAGCCAACCTCCTTGGACAAATCACTCAGCAGCGTCTGAAAAGAACCACGCCAGCAAGCAAGGCTATCAATCAGAGATCACAGTTCGCAGCCATAAATCAATCGTCAGAGGAAAAGGTTTGTCGGCTTGCCTTAATGTTTGTGCTGTCATTAACGACGTACTTTTGCTCCAAAAGCACAGCTTCTTCGAAATACTTCCTCAATCGGCCTTCCACCATTTTCTCTATGGCCATTTGGGGTTTACCTGATCTTTCAGCCTGGCATATTACACAACGGCATGTTACATTTGTGATTTCTCAAGTAACTTGGCATGCCCAAGTTCACCCTCATATCAAGGATGGATAGAGACTATGTCACTAGAAGATACAGAAAAGAAATGTTATATAGTTATCCGATTCATGGAAATAAGCAGTGTAAATGCCAGCAACTTCTAAACCCAACCAAACAGTTATCCTGGTATTACTGTACATCCAGAAATCACCCTATTTCATATGATCAGGCTGCTTTTCCAGTCGTTGATCTTTCTCATCTCAGATGCACATCTTTCCTCTTTCATTTAGTCCAAAATCTCACATGCATGCATTTGCTTTTCATTTATTACTAGTCTCATTCCCTACCTTCGAAATTGGTTTGTTTCTGTCAAGATAGCAGGAGTCCACTTAAAGAGTATTGTGCTAGTCACGTTTAGCATACAACTGATACAAGTGTGTGTCTACTTCGTGTGTCATAGTGGATGGACGTACAACTACTCAGCCACATACAAGGATATGGCAGCAGATCCTTCTAGTTCTAAAGAAATGTCAGAATAACCAATAAGGTACCTGAGTTCGGAGCACATCACGTTCATTTTCCACAGCTGCAGCAGAAACCAGTTCCTTTGATAAGAATAATGGCCTTGCTGCAACAATATGCATTGCGATAGATGACCCAACTCTCTTGAGAGCGTCAAGGGGAGCACTGCTATCTTCTGCTTCTAAAGTGACCAATCCAGCAACGCGACCCAGATCTGAAGCAAGAAAATGCATCAATTAAGTGAACGAGCAAATACGCCATTTGTCAAAAGCAATGAGTAGAAGAACGACAAACATACAATCTTGATAAAACTTGGTAAACGAAAATAACACTGTCTGTGTACCTGGCTGAGGACAGGTATGCAGATAAGATGAAACAACACCATGTGCAGTCGTGGACAACATGAAACCTCTTCTAAGTTTTACGTTCTCCCCAACCATGGCAGCAACTTCCGTAACAGCATTCCGAACAGTTGTTTCACCACTGAGTTTAGGATGATCTAGGTTAATACTCATGCTCTGCAAAGATTGGTAGAAATGTAGTAGTTTCCCAAAGAAAAAGAAAAAAACAGACAAAAAGGAGACATACATTTGATAAGTTCAGCTGCATTGTAGGCACTTCAGTTTATCATCGGACATTATTCGCCTAAAATTTTTAGCGTGATAAATTTCCTGCCTATGTCAAAGAGATCCAGGGACTAAATGGCACTACAACCGAAAAACAGGTATCTAATTGTTCCCGAGTAATGCAACAGAAGAAAAATTGGAAGTCCAACCAAAAAAACCAGAAGTAATCCCATTCCATTCACATGGTTGATGCTTGCCCAGAAGCTTAGATCGTATTAAGTCGACACATAACACTATAAACAAATTTGATCACAGAGCAAGGTTAAATTGAATATCAGTCAATATGGAATTCCATCTATTTTAAAACCAACACTTCAGAGTTCATAAACATCAACTCCAAACCCATCGCTGGTAGATGTCCTATATATGCAATATGTCGTGTACTGGAACTGCTCAGAAAAGGAATAAGAGAGAAACAATAGGTGTCACACCTCCAAATATGCAGGACTAAAAGGAAAAACTGATTTCCCGGGATCCTGAGCTGACAGAGCCATCTTTGCCAAGGATGAAGCCTGCATGGCAAGTGAAATTTGCAAGAGAAAAGGAAGTTATCAAAATTGTACATGTGGAAAAGAGATGCGTTTAATTAAGTATACTCCAGTGATGTGCCCAATACAATACCAAACGTTATTGACTTCCTAGCAGATAAAATGGCATGAACAGATAACTTAAAGACTACAATTAAACAAGAGTTCGAAGTTGGCATTTCTATGTATGTTTGATACACAACATGCACACATGCTTAAATGCACAACATATCATGCTAAGCATATCCAAGCAAGAGGGGTCAGAAATGGAAAAGAGATGCCCAAAAGTTCCTTGAAGAAAAAACAATAATTACGGCAAAAACATCAGTAAGCAAGACTTCGAAAATCAGGGGATAACAGTCAATATATTGAAAACCTAGCAACGAATCTGATGAGTTGACACAACTAAAAACTAAAAATGGGGCCTGGAGGATGATATTCTAAACTAGTGTACGGTCAAACAATAGAAACAACATGCTGCCCTCAAAGGACAACCATTGCAATTAAGAGAAACATTTAATTTAGCATCGATCCTTTTTTCCCAAAAATTGTGAGTTGATGCTTTTCAAGTCATGAAGAAATAATGCTTTCTTATGCCAGATAGTAACAAAATTATTTTGCTAATTTCCATATACTTATGCTGAGCATATGAATCTAAAAGAATTGCTCTAGCGCAACAACACGGTTCAACAAATCATGTCGCTGAGGGTGAAACCAACCAGATACTGGAAAACGTCATTTCTTGCCACAAAGTCGGTCTCACAGTTTAGCTCAACCACAACAGCTCTTTTATCATCTCCTGCCATAGCAAGCAAACCATCGGCAGCAGTCCGTGATGACTTTTTGGCAGCAAGAATCACCCCTCTTTTCCTTAGATCCACCTGTGCAGCCTCTGAAATAAATAAAAAGAATGGGTTAGGAAGACAAATCTGTCAATCAAGCTATGCATAAAGGCAATGAGAAGGAAGGACTAACCAATATCCCAGTTGCAACTAACTAGCGAAGCCTTGACATCTTTGATCGGAGCACACGTTCTTTCTCGGAGTTGCTTAATAAGGTTCATTTGCTCCGAAGGAGGCACCGCAGAGCTAAAGCTCCTATGAAACATGCCATCTTGTGGAAGATGATCGCTCAACGGATTAATGTGGAACATCGCAGAAGTAAACCCTTGAGCAGCTAGTTGCTGAGCACGAGACAGAAGCCCTATAGCGGGTCTTCTAGCAAGCTGACCCCAAGCCATTCTCTGATTGTGCTGCACCAAGGGCGGACAGACGCAAATCTTCAGAGAACTATATTCGCAGCGAACATAACAACAGCAGCACAATCAAGCACTTTTGGAGAAAATGTGATTCCATTCATCCACTACTGGTGTATTTCAACGGAACCATGGACGCATTTACAGTAATTGCACAGAGTAGTATCAGTTTGAATATATTGTGGGGAAGAGGAATTCAGTTGAACTCTCATTCTTTTTTGGAAAATACACTGCTGTTAGTACTACAGCATGCAACAAGCAAGACGAATTATGGTGCTAAATCAAATGGTAGTAGAAGGAACTGCAATGGTGTGATGCACATCACCATAGAGAATCAAAGAAATCAAAAACAAAAGGCATACATACACACAGCGGCAGCGACTTATCACCGTTGCACTAGCTAGCTCGGCGGCGAGCTGGGGGCGGAGGGGAGTTAGAGGCGAACTTGGGCGCGACCTCGAACGGGGCAGAGGAAGGGAGTTGGAGGCGACCTTGAACGGGGCAGAGGGTGGTCGGACGGCGGGCTTGAAGAAGGCCTTCAACCGACCGGGCAGAGGCAGGATGGGTCGGGGGCGACGATCTCCTCCTATGGTCCGGTCTGAAGACTGCAGCGCAAGGCGGCCGGTCGGTGAGCTAGCAGAGAGTGGGCGGGGTGGTTGGTGGCGCGGCGGTCGGACGGGGGCCGGAGGTAGGGGGCGGCGCCGGAACGGGAGGAGAATGGAGTAGATTTGTTTTTTTTAGGGGCAGGAGAATGGAGTAGATGGTTTTGTGAATGGGCTTTTCGACTTGAGAGAAGTAATGGGCTGAGCATATACAGGCCCATATACAGTCTATTTCTCTCTTGTAGGTACTATAGGAGACCCTGCAAGAAAAGCTCGAGACTCGTGAGCTGCTCGAGATCAACTCGTTTTTTGGCGGCTAGAGATTGACTCAAAAAGAAACGAGATGAACACAAACACTTCATGTAGCTCGATCGAAAAATGAGTTGATCTTGAGCCAATACTAGCTCGCTCGATTTTAGCTCGATAACTTGGCATAATGTCATTTTATTAAATGATCATGCCATGTATTAAATGAAAATATTATAATTTATTACCATTCATTCGAAGCTTAATTAAGTGTAGAAAGATTTAGGCCTTAATATGGTACGTAGTCAGCTGTATTGTGAGAAAATAAGTCAAATTACTCTGGAAATTTATATTATCATTGTTTCGATTGGAACAATATTTTTTATTGCTTTCTTATGTCGTGGTGTGTCTTATCTAGTTGGAATAATCATCATAGATTATATATTTTTGTTGTCTCATATTGCTCGAAACTAGTTTAAGATCGACTCGAGATTGTTACAAGTTGAGTACGAGTCATGTTTTACAACTTAACCTTAAGCTTCGCTTAATTTAGACTCACTCGAATTTTAATAGGAGTTAAGCTGAGCCAAATTCAACTCGCTTTAACTGGACTCGTTTGCAGCCCTACCTGTATGACGCACGTGTGCGTCAAAAGGAGCCAGCTTTGCTGAAGCCAGGCCTACTATAACCTCATTGTTTCTTTTTATTTTTCTATACTTCGACGCTGTAGCAACTGGTACTGTAGCATCGGTTCACTGTATCTCCCGCTAGTTGGTCTGTTCGTATTTTGGCATTTTTGAAAATATTAATATATATGATGAACAGTTTTCAAATACATATCAAACATTTAGTAATGTGCGTTGAACAATTCTCGTATACGCATTGAACATTTTTAATGTACGTTGAAAAATTCATGAATACACATTAAATATTTTGTGTAATATATGCTGAACAAAAACCAAATATATAGAAAAAATTTAGTATTTCGTTAAACAAATTCTTAATTGATGAACATTTTTATAATGCACACTGAACTTTTTGTAATATACCATGAACATTTTCTTAATATATGATCAACATTTTGTATACACATTGAACATTTTTGTACGCACTGAAGTTTTGCATAATACTAAAAAATATAAAATAAACATAGAAAAATAAAATGGAAAAAACAAAAGAAAATACAAATAAACAGGAATAGAAAAAAGAAAAAGGAAAAATTTAGAAACAGCGAACCTCGACAGTGGGCCGGCCCAAACTGGGTGACGAGGGCTGGGCACCTTCAGCGAAGCCACAGCTCCTTAACTAACGCATGCGTTTGTAGGACGAAATCTTTCCCTCTTTTTCCTTCCTATCTCCTTACTAATAAAGCACGCATCGCTTCTGGTCGTCCGTCATTAAAAGTGCCTTTGAAGTTGGCAATAATTACCCACCAATGCCACCCGTAAGTGGCAAAAACGATTCGTTTTTAATTTCTAATATCGCTCCAGGATTCTGTTATTAAAGGTGGATACGATATAATAGCACCAATGCATGAGCAGCGCGATGGCTGAGGCAATGATGCTCCACACAGGAGCTTTTTCTCTTTCTTTTTACCAAGCGCAGTAATGGGCCAGCCCATGTGCGGGTCGTGGCGCCCCCTGTTTTCTATATCTTTTTTTTATTTCTATTTTTTTTTCCCTAAAAATAAATTTCGGATTGATGGCGCCCCCTATTTTTTATTTCTTTTTACTTTTTTATTTCTGTTTTGGTTTTTTATCTCAAAATTAATTTCGGATTTCCAAAATATCAAACAATTGCGAGTTCTGAAAAAAAGTAGGAAAATGGTAAACTGTTTGTGAATTTAAAAAATATTCTAAAAATCAAAAAATGTTCATGACTTAAAAAATTGCTCACAAATTATAAACAAATCACGATTTCTAATGATTTCATGAAATAAAAAATGTTCATGATTTTTTTAAATGAGCCAATATTCAAAGCATATTCAGGAATTTAAAAATCATGTCCATCAGCTTTTAGAAAATGTTCACAAAAATTAAAACACATCCGTAAATAATGAACAAAACTAATTGTAGGTTCCATAAAGGTTTTATTAGGAGATCTATATAGCTCGTTTTATGATTTTATTTAGTCCTTCGCGTTGGGTAAAAAAGGGTTTCCGTGTTTTGTACAACGCTGAACCCAACAAAATTGACATAACTTTCTAAGGGTTTGTTTTTGTAAGCTATATTAAAATGACTAAATGTCTATTTTGCTTCCATACACAGTTATGCTTATTTTCATATCACAATAGTGGTTATGGTAAACACCGCTACGCTAAGTCCAGACGAGACACCTTATTTATCAGTATAGCTCAGGCAGGGTCCGTCAATGCAGTTTGCTCAGCCACAAAATATTTTGTTGTGACGCCTTAAAAATCAAGTCTTGATGAGCATCATATTGTTCTTTTTTGAAATTACATTTTAAAAGTGTCTTATCGCATCATGACATGATTTGTATATACTTTGTGAATTTGATTCATACTTTTTTATATCTACCACACATGTATAACTTGATAGTTTTTTTCCGTTGCAAGGCACGGGCATTTCCAAAAATGTTCGCTAAATCAAAAAAAGTTCGTCAAATTCAATAACTATTCCACCCAATTTCTAAATATTTTCATCGATTATAGAATGTTTGCCAGTTCAGGAAAATTGCTTAAAAATGTTCACAATTTCTAAAAAATGTTTGTAAATAGCAAAAAATATTCATAAATTGAAAAAATGTTCTTGATTGTAGAAAATGTTCAGAAATTTGTAATAGTATGTTGTTTGCGATTTCAAATATGTGCATGAGTTTAACAAATTGTTCATAATTTCAAAATGTTCATGATTTCGAGAAATTGAGAGAGATATTGTATCTCGGTGATGCAACGAAATGTGATCATGACCATTTGAAATTATGAATTTTTTTCTCCCGTTGCAACGCACGGGCCCTTTTGCTAGTCATTAATAAAGGAGCACTTTTTCAAATGTCACTCCCTCCTTCCCAGGTTGCGACAAGTGGAGTACATGCATGTGCACCACTTGTCGCAACCTGGAAGTTTTTTCTTTCTTTCGTAGGTTTCTTTATTCAAAATACTTTATCTTTTAAATTGTGTGTTCAAATCTTGAACCATTTTCATCGTTAGCGTCGAGATCGTCAAAATTAGATACCATGTTGATAGGTTTTGACGAACTTTTTTCACGAAAAAATCAAACCGGGAGAACTTTTTGTTTTGATTTTTCGAAAGAGGCACGATTGTACCTTTCGCAGAAGCAAATCCATGCCTCCACGAGAAGTAAAACCGTGCCTCTTGCGGAAGAAAAAATGTGTTTTCTTTGTTTCCGAGAAGCACGGCTATGTCTCTCGCAGAAGGAAATCCATGTCTCTCGCGGAAGCAAAATTATGCCTCCTGCGGGAGGGAAAAAAAGAAAACATATTTATTCTTTTCGTTTTCGGAGAGGCACGGACATACCTCTCGTGGAAGGAAAAAACATTTTTTTTTCATTTTCGAGAGACGCAGCCATGCCTCTCGTGGAAGCAAATCCATTCTTCTCGCAGAAGAAAAACCGTGCATCTCGCGAAAGGAAAACACACATTTTTTCGTTCCCAAGAGGCACGGTCATGCCTCTTACGGAAGCAAAAAAAATGTTTTTCGCACAACCTTTTTTGTCCAAAAACTAAGAAAAATCGGTGAAAAATCAAAAAGTAAAAAAAAAATCATCTAAAAAGATGAAAACCTGTGCAAAAAAATAGAAAAACAAAATTCGAAAGGAGCACCCACACCACGACACATGGCAGCGGTTGAGAGCGTGCCATATGACGGATTCTCAGCCCACCCTAGGTGACCGTGGTGAGGCTCCCGAAGGAGTACGCCTTCGTTAGTTGCTCCCCAAATAGAATCGTTGTAGTATAGTCACCTTTTTCTCAAAAGCAAAAGTAGTATAGTCACCAAAGTTGGCCAAGTGGGCCAGCATGGCCCAGCCCACGCTTAAATGGCCAGGCACGACACAACTCGCCTAGGCATGTTTTAAGTGAGTTGTGTCGTGCTGGCACGTGGGCCTTGCCCTTAGGCCCAGGCACACGCCACACTTATGAAATGGGTCGGCTCACATT